AGTCAGATTGTGATGAAACTTTCTACACAGCTTAGTCTTGACAATAGCTCGGTCGAGTTCGAAGATGAAAAAGACCGGTCGAGCCGTTCCTGAGTTATTGCAAAAATACCCATTTTCTCTATAGCTTTCTGTGGAAAAATGGACCCATCGCGACTTTCGTGAACAACTTTTCCTATTATAGTCAAATAAAACCCCAACTATTATATACCATTCGATAGAGAATTTCACGAGCTACAAAATGGTATGTAAAACAGAAGGAAACAAGAAAGCCAACTCAGCCATTACAAAGATAATTAAACGGAATTCGGTTCTGTTTTTGTCCACGCTCTAATTGATCCACAATCAGAGCTCTATCTTCCGATCACAGAGATGATAGTTCGAGGTTTTCAGGTATGGAGAACTCGAATGTGTACTGCACTTCCATCGGAATACAATTAGTTGAACAGTAGCCAATAGAAATCAAGCGTTTATAGACAAAGTTTGCCAGGATAATTTTTGTCCCCATATTCTATAACGACTCATCTGTCTCATTCACTTTTTTGAGGAATATCCTTTGACCCTCAAGCCCTATATTATAGAGGTACTCTTAGGCCCTCAAGTCCTGTATTTTGAAGATATCTTTAGGTCCTCAAATTCTATATTCTTTTTCAATGATCAAGATAATTAAAATGAAATCAACATGAAAAATAATGGCTTGAACATACATAGACTTTGTTTGTAAATTTTTAAATTAATAAATGTAATTAAAATAATTTTAATTGATAAAACAAAAAAAAGTGAAAATTTTCTAATAAAAAGGTCATAAACCAAATGTACGACAAGAAGAAGAAGGTATACATAAAACTGATGGAAGAGTAGCAAAATATAAAGATGATATATCACATGCTGAAAATCAACTAGCTGTTAGTCGTGCATTAGATGATTATTCAATAGATAAACTTTATTATATCAGCATTACTTTATATAATTCAATATTCAAAACAATCATCAGTTGCATATATTATACTTGTTTGTGATGGCATTTGGGATGTTATAAATAATCAACAAGTTGCGAAATTTGTTTTTTCAAATAAAATATCATCGAATATATTACAATTTATTGTTTCACAATTATTAGATGAATGGTTAAAATTAGAAACTATGGATCATATGAGTGTTTCTATCGATAAACTTTAAATATTTCAAAAAATTTATTTAATTTAACTATTTCTCTATGTGTATATTATATATTAATGTGCATAGATAATCATTAATTCTATGGAATTATTCATCAAAAGCTTTCTTTTTGTCAAAAATATTCTAAAGAAAAATATCATTTATTCTTATATTCTAATTAATTTTGGTCAAAATATAATATAAATGTTTTACCTAAAGCAAAAGCTAATCGAATATTTTGAACTAATAAATAAGGTTTTTGTCCGCATGTCATTCTAAAAGCTTCTCTTTGTTTTAAATTTTCAATTGTTGATTCAACTAAAATAATTAAATGTAGTTAAATAATTTTTTCAGAATCAATTCAATGACCACATAAATATTTATTATCAATTATAAATTGATTCGAAAAAATATTTTTTTCTAATTAAATGAAATTTTCTCATTTATCTTCTAAAGAATTCTTCAATTAAAACTGAAAGCAAATTTAAAATTAAAATTAAAAAATAAAAAATAAGCCAGAAAAAAACTTAGTCAAATTTATTTTTACAATAGATTTGAAACCTCTTATTTTTCATAAAAAAATTGTCATCCTTCAATCCATTTATAAACATCAAGCAGAAACATATAAATATCTCACTCTCTAAATAATCATCGTTTCATTCAATGGGTAAAATGATTTCTTCTAATCAATTTTCTTATCCTTTTTTGTGTCTTATTTTTCTTGTTTACTCAAAAACAGAATCAACGCCTCCTAAAACAATTTGAAACTGATCATTAGGATATTCGTTATATTCGTTATAGTCGTTATAGTCGTTATATTGGTTATATTCTTTATAATCGTTATATTCGTTACATTTGTGTTCGACTTGATTTCATAATTTTATCTCCTAAATTCCATCATATTTAAATACAAACGTCAACTGTTAAGAAGAAACTTGATAAATAAAATTATTCAAGTTTATTAAAGTAATAAAGAAAAGAAAAGCAACATTTATTAAAATATTTCTTTGAATCTTATCTATCAATATTTCAGATTAAAAAAATTATAAATACACTTAATCAATTAATGGAACGAACAGAAATAAATGAAGGTGCAACGGTTGGAGAATCAGCTGTTCGTGATCATAATGATACAAATACCATTCGTAATAATGATCATGTTACTATTAATAATAATGACTCTGTTACTGCTAATAATAATGAATTGGTTATTCTCGGTACAAATAAAAAAAATACACGTCGTAATAATAATAATAATAATAATAAAACAGTTATTTCTGATACCAATGAACCAGTGGTTATTGGTAATAGATTAAAAAATTTTAAAACTTAAAAAATAATCTTCCTATTTTCAGAAAAAGATGTCAAAGGTACGGTTGTTACTGTAAACCGAATGAAACATTACTCATTTATCAAACGGTAAAAATTAACAAAAAACTAGCTTTTATCTTTCATATTTAAGTTTTTTTGTATATTTCATAAATTATTTAGTAAAGACAAAATACAATCTCGAGATATATTTGCTCGTGAAGTATCAATTATAAATGAACCAAATCAAAGAAAATTTTTTGTATCTGATACATGTAAATTTGATTTAATAAAAAGTGCGTTATTTTACTAAAATCATAAAATAAATAATACTTTGTTGATCTTTAGCACAGCGTGGCGTAGAAGCTGTCAATATAAACATCATCGAACGAAATATTAATAGCATATCTAAGTTACCTAAAATTCCTAAAAAAAAGGAAAATGAACAAACACAAATTTCAACGGAATTTTTTAAACAAACAATATATGATACTTAATCTAGTTTTTTTTAAAATTTAATCTAAATTAAATTATATTTCGTTTTAGTACGGAATTATTCCGTGAAGCCTTAAACAAGAAAAAATAGGTCAACATCATTTATGTTCGTCATTTGTTTTAAAACAACAAAAACATTTATTTTACATACATTAATCACTAAAGAAAAAGAAATTCTAAAATAACATGTTTTAATAAACAAGAAATTGTTTATATACAATATCTCTTGTATTAAACAAATAAAATTTTTTTTTCTTATAATAAATACCTACTTATTAAAATTATTTAAATTTCTTTAAAACTATTAGATAATTTCTCAATCATTAATATAACACCTCTATTTCAATCATTTGTTTTTTTTAAGTTCATATTTAATTCGCATATTGAACTAAGTAAAAGATAATCTATAAAATGAAATTGAATGAGAATTCCATCTGATATATATTTCCATTTCTAAATAAAACTGTTTGCGTTATGAAAATCACACTCATTATTAAATAATAAACCTATTTTGCACCGATGGTATATTAATATCCATTACACCTCCTCTCTCATCTATATATTTCTCAAAGTTTTTCAACAAAATTCGAATTACTTCGCACCGCATTTCGCACACGAGCTCGTTTCACGTGCCATCTAGTTTTTATTCTAAAGATAATCTTATTTTTATGAATTATAATTTAAATTGTTAATCTTTTTAAAATAGAAGATATAGCAAATAACACATGTTTTGGTGGTGGTTTAAATCGATCTATGCTTCATCAATTTCTTGGTTATCAAGAAATTCTTATGTCTAGTATAAACCAATTAGCAGAAAAAGAAACTCATAAAGGTATATTTTTCGAAAAAAAAAGAAAAGAAAAATAAATTATCAAATTTATTTAATTTAGATTATGTTCGACTTGTAATGACTAATGGTCATTTTTGTTTTGTCGGTGCATGGCATAATCGTCGATGGCGGACATATTTAGTGTCTTTATGTGTTATGATTGTATTTGTAAGTTAAATTATCTATAGAAAATTATTATTAATGATTTATTGTATATTAGACAATTAGTATTTCAATGCTTTTTCGTTATTCACATTTTCAAATATTTCTTTTTATTGGTTTGTTTAAAAAAAAAAGATTTTTTTTTGTATATTTATTCATCATTTTAGCTGGTCTGTTACATATGATTGAACATAAGACACCAATTGCATTTCCTGCTGCACCATTATTAACAGCTATATTGGCATTAATTGGTAATTAAATTATTTTAAAATAATAATTATTATTAAAATATTTATTTATATAATAGGAACGGAAGCAATTATGTCGGCGTTTTTCAGTGACGCATCAACTGGTAATTTAATTATAATTATATAATTATAATTATGTTTTATTTTCTTTAGCTTTTTATATAATTCTTATTGTATGGTTATCAGATCAGTAAGATAGTATATACTGTTATACACCAATAAGCAAACGTCATTGGGTTCAGTAAGTTATTTTTTGTATTTTTTTTATTTCTTTAAAAAAAATATTTATTTTTTTTCTATTTTTGAAAAAAAGTTTTCTTTTATATATTATTGCTCATTTTAAGCATATCATGCTCGTTATAATGGACAATATTCTGGTTTAGCATTAACAACAGATTGTTGTTTTATAACCCAGGTCATTCACGTCCGGCCGTAAACGACTGTATACCAATCATTTACGACGAAAAACGACAGCTGTTTACAGTGACCGTTTACGGCAGTCATATACGCCGTTTTACAGTATATTACGCTCATCGTAAACAATGATCGTAAACGTTCGCCATCTACGACTACTGTAATCACACGGCGACTGTAAACGATGCTCGCATAATATCGTAAGATATCGCAAACGGCAGCCGTTTACAATGACCGTTTACGGCAATCATATACGATGCTTTACGGTGCATTACGCTCATCGTAAACAATGACCGTAAATATTCGCCGTTTAAGACTACCGTAATAATACGGCGGCTGTAAACGACACTCGAGTAACATCGTAAGATATCGTAAACGCCAGCTGTAAACGGTGTGACCTACGCTAATCGTTTTTTATCGTATGTGTCCGTAAACAGTCGTTAACGATGAAGAACTACTTTCATCAAATATAGTGGCGAAATCAGAACTTCGTTACTAGAAGAGCTGAGCTTCCTAGCACTTTTTTCAAATTTGTCGAAAATAGTACAAATTTTCATAAAAGCTTTTGAGATCGACACCATCCTTCGCTTTGTAAAATTCCCTTCACATATACATTCTTTAGATTTTTTATGAATAAATTAACA